GGAAGTTCCTCATTTTCCGTATGTGGAGCAATTGAGTTCAAATCAGTGGAAACATCAGACATAATTCAGACTTTCTGACAACCACCTCAATGGCTTACCATACTGTCCTCTGGTGTTTGGTAAGCACTTTTGGCTGCCACTTGACATAGTGGAAAGGGAACAAAAGGCAGAGGGATGAATGCTCTGTCCCACAAAGCAGGACTCAGAAAAATAATAAAAGTATCATAAGTTGCTTCACCCCTTATGTTAAATACTGATCCATATGTGAGTCATGACTAAATCACTTCACAAGAGAAAAATGGGCCATCACTGTGAAAACTGAGGTGAGTCCTCAAATAAGAGAACAAAAGGTAAGAAGGGAGAGGGAGGAAAGGAAGGAGGGAGAGAAAGAAAGAAGAAAGGAAGTAAGGAAAGAGAGAAAGAGAGAGAGAGAGAGAGAGAGAGAGAGAGAAAGGAAGGAAGAAAGAAAGAAAGAAAGAAAGAAAGAAAGAAAGAAAGAGAAAGAAAGAATAGACTGGCATGATACCTATGAACCTACTTCTTGACATTTGACCCTAAGTATTGAAAGTGGGGTCTCTATTCTGTCCCCTCCAAAATTAATATTGAAATTGGGTACCATGGTGTAGTAATTGGAGGTCAGAAAGTCTCTATGAAGGAACATACTAGTGATGTTTACCTAAATGGACTTGTAGACAAATGCCTTCTAAGTAATTATTTATGCAGAAGAGTCACCTGTTGGCCTTGGTCAGACAAGTATCTTTAGAGAATGGGTGGTGGACAAAGTGGTGACTCAAGGTGGTCCAAGTACTGAGAATAAGTAAGTGTTTAGTGTAGACTCAAAGTCATCATCAATGTCACCATCACCCTGAGACCTTCCTTGTCTCCGTGGGTGAACAGTTATCAGCCCCTGGTCTGAGACCCTTTTCCATGAAGACTAGGTAGCTCTCCCACTCTTCCCACAGCAAAGACCCACTTTTTCTCTTCATTTGTTCCTTATCGCCCTTTATCCTTCTACAACCTCAGATCAGCACCCAGTCCTCTTTCTCCTTCTCCCTTCTACCCTGGCTGCTCACAAACTGATCAGCTGCTATTCTTCAGCTGTCAGTCATCAGCTGCCTTGCTGTGTTCACTGCATGGCTGCCTGTATCAGCTTCCCTGTCTCTGGTGTTCTCTGGCCTGGGCCAACATCACTTTTGCTCTCAGCTGTCCCTGCTGCTTTTTACCCATTGTTATCAGCTCAGCCTGACCTGGTTAGAGAAGACATGAAAAGGGCACTCAGGAGAGGTCTTCGGACAGGCCTGAGGGGCAGCACTGACCGTATCTTCCAGCCGACTTGGTACGGCAGAGCAACCTTACATGGTCAAAGTACTGAGTATGAGTAAGTGCTGAGAGCTCAGCTTCAAACAAGACATCTAATGTCACCTTCTCCTAAGTCAAGAGAATACTGCCAAATACGGGCAGAGGGACTGACTGTAGAGCTGAAGGATATGGAGGACTGTGGTTGGATGCTGTCTTCTGGACATGGTGTGGTCTTTCTCCCCCATCTTTGGCATCATAATTACTCTTCCTTGCAAAGAGATTTTAAATATTTAGTGTCATCAAGAGGAAGAACATTTGACTCCAGAAGTTTACTATCCTGCCTTTTAATCTATGGCCTCTTTCCTCTCTGCCTTCTTGTCAGGGTCTTATCTGCCTTCACTTTTATTATTTGTAATTTCAGTCCTTACAACATATACAGACCCAGTGTGGGTCACAGTCTCAGACAAAACATTAAAAGTGATGACAGTGTCTATGTACAGAGCTGGATTCCTACCTCGTTCCTATTTGAACCAAGGTTTTCAGAGGAGACAGACAGTATCCAGGCTATGTGAAAAATTAGTGATTTTGAAGTCAAGTGAGAGTTAGAGGAGGTGAAATTGGTGCAGGTATTGGCTTTGCCATATTGGCTAATCTTGGTAAAGCTGCAGCCTCAAGAAACAGAATCTATTTTGAGTTAGGAGCTGGCTTGAGTCTCATTTGTCATAAGCAAGTGCTCCAGTATTCTTGGGATGACAAAATTACTAAAAAAAACCCACTGTTTTCAGAGCATCTATTTCTCTTGACTCTTCCTTTTCATGCACTGTATACTTATGATGTGTTTACCATTTGGAACTTGGTAAAAATGAAACTGTTTCCCATGTATTTCTTCCTATTAGGATTTTGAGGTTGTTCATGCTGTTGCCTTGCATGAATGGGTTCTTCTTCAGTGATGCCAGCTATGCACACCACATAAATACAGCATAGTTTCTATTCTGCTAATAATGCGCATGTGAGTTTCTAGTTTGCCTGTTAAAATAATACTCATATGTCTTTTTCGTACATGCCCATTGTGTACATGTAAACAAATAAGATTATTACAGCATGATTTGATTATGCTTAACATTAATAATGATGTCAAAGCCTTACAACATAGTTACAAGTATTTATTCTTCCATCAGGTGTAACATGTCACCTCTGAAAATTTATATATTGGTCTGTTTTAGTCAGAATAATAGATACACAATGTTCTCAAGAGAATTTCTTCTTGCTATCTATAAAAAAATAAGGCAAAGTACACAGGGAATGTCAAATATTGCTGGGTGTAGCAGGACCTTGCCCTCTGTTATGACTGCCCATCCCATTAGGAATATAGCACAGCACATTTTTCTAGCACTCTGAATATATTAACTTCTCAGCATGCACTGTGTGCTCATTCCCCCTTTACCTGATGTATTTAGTTCTTTGTTGCTGTGACCACACTGCTGACAGGAATGTTGTATCATTCCAATTTACTTATAATAAATCATAATGCAGTGAGTCCTCTCATACAGATGTATTTCTGTAGTCTTGGAAATATCCTGTTCTACTAGGCATTCTTATCTGTGGGTGATTATGAAGACGATTTCCTCCTCAGTGTACTGTTTAACTGAAACAATGTCTTTATATAATAGTGATGCTAGTTCAAGTAGGATTTTATCAATTGGTGGTCTTTAGTAAATACAGTACGCAATTATGATAGAGTTTAGTTTAGTGGAAAATTCACTATAGGTAAAGGTAGGACAAAATGTTGCCTCTGCCTCTGATAAATCACAGGCTGCAAAGGATAAAAAATGAGACAAGAAAGTGTCACACAGCTAGATCACATGAGTTTCTATTGAGGAGCCATATAGACTGTGGTTTAGGTTAATGATTAAGGAAAACAGTTGAGTCCCAGTAGCCTAGCTAGCTTAAATTATTTTAATCTTAATGTTGGGAGATGTGTTCACAGGTTTTGGAGTGCATCATAGCTGAAACAAAACTTTGAATATAAGTTGAAGTTAGACTAAGATGTTTTGTTCAATAGCTTTGAGGTTATAAACCCAAGAAGACATATTAAAGTTTAGAAAGGCACTTAGCTGAGTGAGGGACTCGTTAAGGTCAGGGAACAAGAACAAAGCAACCCCATTATTACTAGCTGATATGCCTTTCTTGATAGGATGTGTTGGTGATCAAAGGTGAGGATTAATTCTTGGTGCCCATTTCTGCTCTCACCTTCCTGCTATAAAAACTGTTGACTAGTGTGTATACTCCCTGAGGTTTTCAGTAGAGCTGACTGGTTTTTATTTTTCTTCTATATACAGAGATTTAGATTTGTGATTTTTCTAAGATTCCTTGTATTTTACTATTTGAAATTAAAAAAAAATGATCCTTTCTTTGTAACCATAGAATACAGAATGCCAGCAAAAGAACTGGCTGAGAAAAATAACTTGATTGCTCACACTCTGTTAACCTATGGCAAATTGTTTAGACACAAATGTAGGTGGTTTCTTGGGACATTTTGTATTTCACCTGTAATATATAAATGTTTAATTATGTGAGGGATATGGAAAACATGCTGGGTTTTGCTTGTATTCATTGTAATCTTACACTTAAAAATATAATGAAACCACGTTGTAATTTTTGTGTTGCTTGTAAGGTCTGCTGTCGTATATAAGATGTCAGGGAAAAACTAAAGAGAGTTAGAAGAAAAACATCAACAATGAGAGAAAGAAATCACCAGGAAAATTAAAAAGAGAGAATACAGAAGAAGAATGAAGAAAAGGCCAGAAGGAAGCCATCAAGAGAGTCTATGAGTGTTTATACATCTTCCCCTTACCCACTCAGATAAAAAATTCTTAGCCTACTCTGTGGATCCCTTTGAGCCCTGCTCTGCTGGAGACTGGTCCTCACAGTGGTGGTACCTAGCACCAGGAGCAGGGATATTGAAGGGGTAATCAAGAAGACTGTCTGTGGGAGAGAGGCAGCTCTCCTTGGAGATTGTCCAGAGTGTAGCATTCTCCTGGGGATTGTCCACAAAGGAGATACATTCCTCTAATGATGGCCACAGATAGCATCTCCCTCATGGTGCTGTAGCCCCTTGGCTAGTGACTGTCAAGTGAAGAAAGGGGAGTAGCCCAATAGTTTCCTATTTTCCCCTACATTTTCCCCTTGTGTAGTCTCCTTCAGCATGGATCAAGGAAAGTCTAAATAAAAACAATGCTTTATTGATATTATTAAACCTATGCTTTTAAAAAATGAATTGAGATGAGCATAGGCCAGTTGAATAATTTTCTTAAATTTGTGCAGACAGTCAGTCCCTGGTTTCCATACTGGCTGATTTTAGATGTAGAAAATTTGGATACAGTAGGGAAAAATATTAAGAACTTGTGTACAGAGAAAGGAGGGAAGGACATGACTCTTAGAGCATTTTCAACTTGTAGCAGATTGGCTTAGATTGATCCTCACAGTGGCCACAGATTGCTTTGTAATTCTGTTTCTGGGAGATGATGATGTGTTCAGTACTGATAGGGAGTGTCTTATGAATCACCCAAAAGGCTGAACTGTGCTGATAAAATGCTTATTAGGAACAACATACAGAATACAAGGTTCCTTCTCACTCTCCCCAAGTCCAAGTTTCAAACCCCCTCCTGGATTCAGTTGAGTCTCTTCCTCTCAGCTCACAGATGGGTGCTGTAAAGATTGAAGAGGCTTCCATGAGCATGATAAAGACTGACCTCATTACTCCAGAAAAGCAGAAAGAGGTAAAAATAGGTATGTATTTTAATCTTACTTGACTCAAAATAAATGAGATTCACCTGGGGCCCTCAGAGGAGCTGAAACACTTGCCTGTTAGACTCTGACAGTGGGTCTCTGTAGAAGTGGAGATTCGAGGAGGGCTCTCTTCGCTACTCTCTCAGAGTACATAATATTCAAGTATTTTTAGGCAAGAGAAATGAACAGTAAGTTAATTACAAAAGCCTGAGACATGGTTTTTGTTTGTCTGGTTGGTTAGGTTGGAGTGTTTTATTTTTTAAATTTACTTTTGGTGTTTATGAACTAGATTAGGGACCTGTGGGGACAGCAAGCTGAGGATCATTTAACCAGCATAAAATATGGGCAGGTGCAAGCATGATGTCCAGGGTTGCTTTTTTTTCAATCCTTTTCCCCAGTGCTGAGTAATGTTGCTTTATTTTATCACAAGCTCAGGGATATTTGAGCTGTTGCAAAATACAGTGTTAATTCATAAAGCTGCTGTCAACACAGACAGGTTTTTTTTTATCTAAACACAGGAATTTCCCTTAGATACAGAGCAAGAGGGAAATATGGCCTCTTTGTAACAAAATGCTAAAGTATTTTTCAACTATATTCCCCAGATTTTGGTAATATCAAGCACAGTTAATGCATGTAGGTACTATGTAAACAAAATTTTATTCCAAAATATGGCATATTTTTCTTTTTAAAAATCAGTGTGTGTTTATTTATAGCACATAGGCACATGTACTATGGGGAAGGTGCACAATTCTCAGGTAGAGAAAGGATTAAAACTCATCTGCATATGATACTTAGTGTTTTTTCATGGTAAGACTCACACCTCTTCCTGTGTATTATAACAGACTCAAAATGGATCACAGACCCAAACATGAAGCCTAGAACTTAAATCTATTTGAAGAAAAAAAATAAAAGACATCTTAATGATAGGAGCTTGTCTTAGGTAAAGATTTCCTCATCTAATACCAATACCTAAGGCTTTACTAATACACCAGAAAAGTAAATTGGATTTAGTGCAATGAGAACTCTGCTCTGGTTGCTAAAAAGGAATAAAAAGATAAACAGTGGGCTAGTAGGTTAGCATCCCCTCCACCCCTCCACCCCCCACCCTGGTAGTGAGATATCCACCCTGCCTCTCCTCGACTAAACCTACTGGTCTCTTGGACAAAGAACTGCCCCACCTCAACCACAGACTTTGGTCATGCTGTCCTACTGTGATTGCAGGAGATAAACCTAGAAGACTGCTAAACCTTGACAAGTCAGGGTAAGACAACCTTTTTACCTCTCTGCTTCTGTGTTGGTCAGTCAGATACTCTAGTCATTAGCCAAAGCTGGTCGCCCCTACGCTGCTGTGAAACTTTGGGTGACTGTCCCCGCTGCACCTTTGGAAGTTGCTCACCTGCACTTCCTGTATACCCTAGTATTGTTATCCTCCTTCTCAGGTCTTTGATGAGGTTGAAGATTTAGACTGTCACAATTATTGTTCTCTCTTCCTAGATAGAAATTTTATATGCAAGACTTAATCTTTCCAGCTTAGGACAACTCTATAGCAATCTCTGTTATACCCTTACCCTAGGACTGGATATGTGGTTCCTGCCATTTGCTCTAATTGTGTCACTGGCGATAGGCTTTAAGTGTGTATGTTCTTACTTTTCCTTCTCCTAGAGCACACCTGATATTTGCTATCTTTGCATGTACTTTTGTATCACATATAAATCTTTTCTTTAAACTAAAAGGGGAATTGTAGTGAGATATCCACCCTGTCAGCACCTGTTGCATTGACCACAACCATTTAGGCATGGTCACAGGTGCAGATGTGACAGGGAAAGGCTAGGTCTGGGGTCCCGGACCTGAACTCACTCTGTCTTGGTTCCTGATCCAGTCACGGAGGGCATCCTGGGTGTGGATCCTTGGAGATAGAACTTACAGGTCATTGGTTTCTTATGTAAGTGACTTCTCCCTGGATAAAATTAACCTATATTTAACCAAGTCCCATGTGTCTTAATCTATGCTTCTATACCCCACACTCTCTGTGTGTGTATGTCTGTCTGTCTGTCTCTGTCTCTCTCCAAAGAAATCATACCTACAATGTACTAAGAGTTTTAAAAACCCAATGTTTCAATAGATGGGTAATTGTGTATTTAGACATGCTTGGAATATTGCTATCCTTGTTTGCACTTGACAATTGCTGGCATATGAAAATGAAATTTATTTTGCTCCTTGACATATTTTCCTGCAACATTGTAAACACTTCCATTATTTTTACAGCCCTTTTAATAGACTTCTTAGAAATTTATGTGTAGATATATCCATGTTGTCTGAATAGCAAGACTTTTATCTCTATGAAGCCTGACTGTTTTTTCTTATGCTTGCCCTATTGTACTGACTAGGGTCCCCAGAGCCACACTAGAATATTGAGCAAACACTCTTACCTTTTTCTATGTTATCTTTACCTGCTCTTGCAGGTTCTGAAATTAATGTTCTAACATTTATATTTTCAGGCAAAAAGTATAATGGAAAATGTCTCAGAATCATCTCCATTGAGTCTTCTACTAAGCTATATTGCTGCTATGTCTATGCAGTAATTATGGCCCTCATTGTAGCTGTAGTTTCACTTAAATTTACTTTGTCATTGTCAGGTGAGTGACTTGTTCTACAAATTTCGTAGCATTTTCTACACCTGTATGTTGTCAGCAAATACTTAATTACCACTTTGAGCCAGGCACTGTGTGAAGGGCTGGAGAGAAAAGACATTGTAATTCCTGTTCTCTGGGAACTTATTGTCTAGCAGGAAGATGCAGTTAAGGGACAGCACAGGCTGTGGTGAGCACAGGAGGCCGGGCTCAGCATCCCTGGGAAGATGGCATTCAGCAGTCTCTAGAAAGAGATGCAGGAGACATATGTCCACCTGTGAGAACTACTCAACACAGAGAAAAAGGAGAGGAAAACCTGAAAAGAGACTCTCGAGATGGCTACAGCAAAGGGAAGTGAGAACAGTGAAGAGTAATAAGGTGAAGGAAGGTAGAGAAACCCCTACCCCCATGACCCATGGTTTCAGTTAATATCCTCAACCCTGATGTGAAAATATTAACTAGAAACTTCCAGAATATGTTATTCCTAAGCTTTTAGTTATAGAGTGCTCTGAATACTGTGATAAAATCTTGTACAACTTGACTGCCATAGCTGGAGTAAATGTGTGGTGTGTGTGTGTGTGTGTGTGTGTGTGTGTGTGTGTGTGTGTGTGTGTGTGTTTTCTGTGACAGGGTTTCTCTATGTACTCCTGGCTGTCTTGAAACTCACTATATAGACCTTGCTGAGCTTGAGCTTGGGGATTCACCTGCCTCCTCCTCCCAAGTGCTGGGATTAAAAATATGCACCACCATCACCCATTATGAAATCATCTTTAGCCATGCCAAAAAAAATAATACACACATCTAAACAGGACAAGCATTTGCCAACAAGTCTTAGTCAGTGTAAGCTAAACTATTATGTAGCTCTGATAAGAGTCAGATGAAAAGAAGCGACAGTCACCCTCACTGCCCCTTGTGTTTGTCTGGTTCACTAAAGCCTCATAGTACTGGGTATAGGAGCTGGGATAAGTAAAACAAATTTTCTTCAACTAAAAATAATTGGGCAGTCATTTTTGGTATTTAATATTTCTCATCAAATCATTTGTTTCTAGGGCTCAGCAGACCATTTAAACAGCAGCAGTTTCATTCTGACCTGCTGAAGGAAGAAAAGTTTGAAGGTATGAAAGCAAAGTGTCTGTTATTCTTCTAAGCTGTCCTCTAAACCCTTGCTGTACTCAGAGCTTCTTACCCATACATAAACACACACACACACACACACACACACACACACACACACACACACACACACACACCACTTTATTGCAATGGACTCATAAATGAAAACATCACACAGCTCCATTAGCATAGCCATTCCAACATTTGTCAAGTCCCAAACTCTATGTATCCCAGTGAACTTCCACATAGTTACAATAGCCTTTCTGAAGCCATGGAGCTTTGGTTATGGTTTTAGACCTTTACTGTCAATCACATTTTTATGCACTTATCTGCCACAGAAAAGAAAAACCAAGGCAAAGTTAAAACTAGAAAAACAATGCTATTCATAACACATTTTCAAAACTCTTATTCCCTTTCCTGCACGCTGTCCTTCCTCATTGAATTACACCACTCTTCCTTGTTCTCATTTCTATGTATTATGGGATGCCCACACTCACAGGGGTTTACACTGTGCATCACAGGCTGGGATTGCATGTGAGAGAGTACATGGGTCGCTTTCTTTCGGAGTTTGGGTGACCTCACTCAGTATTATGCTTTCCCAAGCCACACACTTTCCTACAAATTTCATTTTTTATTCACAGCTGAATAACATTCTGTTTTGTATATGTAACACATTTTCACTATCTGTCCATCAGGAGATGGACAGCTAGGTCAGGTCCATTTCCTTACTATTGTAAATAGGGGAGCAATGACCACTGATGTACAAGTATCCTTGGTAGGATGTGGAATTCTCTTCTTACATACCCAAGAGTAAAGAAATGTGTCACATGGCAAGTTTATTTTTAATTTTTTTCTGAGGAACCTCCATGCTGTCTGTATCAGTTTGTACTCACAACCAGCAGCAAACAAGTGTCCCTATTTCTGCGCATGCTTCTAAACAAGGTGGCCTTACACTCACAGAGTTCTACCTGCCTCTGCCTCAAAAGTACTGGGATTAATGTCAAGCCTGATCATTGTCCAGCATTGTTGTCAGATTTTTTAATTAATTTTTAATTAAAAAATCTTACTTTGCATACCAATCCCAGTTCCCTCTCCCTCCCATCCCCCCATTTTCCCACAAACTCCCAATCCCACCTCCATCCACTCCTCAGGTGGGGTGAGGCCTCCTATGGGGAACCATCAAAGTCTGAAACATAATTTGGGACAGGACCTAGGCCCTCCCCTGTGTATTTAGTCTGAGAGAGTATCCCTCCATTGGGAATGGGTTCCCAAAGCCCCTTTGTGCACTAAGGATAAATACTGCTTCTGCTTCCAGAGGCCCCATAGACTAACCAAGCCACCCCCCCAAATTGACTGCCACATTCAGGAGGGCTGGTTTGGTCTTATGACAGTTCCCCAGTTGTCAGTCTGGGATCCATGAGCTCCCACTTGCTCAGGTCAGCTGTTTCTGTGGGTTTCCCCAGCATGGTCTTGATCCCTTTGCTCATCACCCCTCCCTCTCTATAACTGGATTCCAGGAGTTCAGCTCAGTGCTTAGCTGTGAATCTCTGCTTCTGCTTCCATCAGCTACTAGATGAAGGCTCTATGATGGCATTTAAGGTAGTCATCAATCTCATTATAGGGGAAGGGCATTTAAGGTAGCCTCTCCACTATTGTTTAGATTCTTAGTTGGAGTCATCCTTGTGGATTCCTGGAGATTTTCCTAGTGCCAGGTTTCTCATTAAGCCCACAATGGCTCCCTCTATTAAGACATCTCTTTCCTTGCAGTCTTTCTCTGTTCTTCCCCCAGTTCCACCTTCCTGATTCCTCATGTTCTCCTCCCTCCCCTTTCCCACTCCTCTTTCTCCTCCCTCCCTGCCCCTCCCCCTGTGCTCCCAAATTACTCAGGAGGTCTTGTTCCTTTTCCCTTCTCCAGCGGGATCATATATGTCTCTCTTAGGTTCCACCTTGTTTCCTAGCTCTTCTGGGGTTGTGGATAATAGACTAGTTATCCTTTGCTCTATGTCTAATATCCACTTATGAGAAAGTACATACCATGTTTGTCTTTCTATGTGTGGGTTACCTCACTCAGGAAGGTTTCTTCTATTTCCATCCATTGCCTGTGAATTTCAAGATTTCATTTTTTTTTTTTTTGTACCGCTGAGTAGCAGCCATCGTGTAAACGTACCACATTTTCTTTATCCATTCTTCCATTGAGGGGCATTAGATTTCTTCCAGGTTCTGGCTATTACAAATAATGCTGCTATGAACATAGTTGAGTTAACTCACCCAGAAGGAGTAGATCAGGAAAATATCAAATTAAAGGCTGAAATCAATAAGTAGAAAGAAAGAAAACAATACAAAGAATCAATGAAACAAAGAGTTGTTTCTTCAAGAAAATCAACACGATAGAACTTTATCCAAACTAACCAAAAGGCAGAGAAAAAATATGCAAATTGACAAAATCAAACACAAAAACTGGGACATAACAAGTGATATAGAGGAAATCCAGAGAATTATCAGGTGTATAGTTTGAAAACCTTTACTCCACAAAATGGGAAAATTTAAAGGAAATGGACGATTTTCTGAATAAGTATCATGTATTAAAATTAAATCAAGAAAATTTAAGCAATTTAAATAAGACCTATAACCCCTAATGAAATAGAAGTAGCCATTAAAGACTCCCAACCAAAAAAAGCCCAGGACCAGATGGTTTCACTGAAGAATTCTACCAGAAATTCAAAGAAGAGCTAATACCAGTACTCCTCAAAGTGTTCCACACAATAGAAGCAGAAGGGTCATTGACAAACTCTTTTTATGAGACTTCAATTACATTGGTACCCAAGCCACACAAAGACACAACTAAGAAAGAGGACTACAGACCAATTTCCCTCATGAACTTTGATGCAAAAATACTTTATAAAATACTGGCAAATCGAATCCAAGAACATATCAGAAAAATCATCCACCATGATTCAGTAGGCTTCTTCCCAGAGGTGCAGGGATGGTTCAACATAGGAAAATCTGTCAATGTAATCCATCATAGAAACAAACTAAAAAATAACAACCATATGATCATCTCACTAAATGCTGAAAAAGCCTATGATAAAATACAACACCCCTTCATGATAAAGGTTATAGAAAGATCATGGATAAGAAGAACATACCTGAACATAATAAAAGCAATATACAGTAAACAAACAGCCAACATCAAACTACATGGAGAGAGACTCAATGGGATTACTCTAAAATCAGGAACAACACAAGGCTGTTATCAGATTTTTTAATGTCAGTCATGCTGACTGACTCTAATAAGAGCCAGCATGTGATATACACATTTCATGTGTATATGATAGCATTATAGGAAACCCATGACTAAAATTCTTGCATTTAAGAGCTATTTTGACCCTGCCATGTTTTGCAGGCTGGCATTTCTCTATAGTAAAATCTAGACAAGATCTGGGATTTTGTTTTTTACATTTTTGGTTTTTGTTTTGTTTTTGATTTTTTTAAACAGAGTGTGCTGGATGTCTCTACAATTTTGTTCAAATACTGCAGAACCTGGAAAAGCTGTTGTTGCTATTGATGCATAACATACTGCTATTATTGGTCTTTCTATATCAATATAAATATATACACATATATAATCTGAATTTTTGGAAACTTTAGCTGTGCTGTCAACTTTGGAAAAAAGTATCCCAGTTTACCATGTTGACTTGGCATTGTACAGAAATTAACAGTCATATTGGTCTAGAAATGTTGAACTTATTTTTTTTTCCATTTGTACAGGGGTAACGCACTGTATTAAATATGTAAGGTCTTATCTACATGGATTTGATTACAAAACTAATAAGGTATTCTCTAAATAAAAAAATAAAATAAATCTAGACAAGATAGGAGTTTTCTTTCTCTAGTCAAGAGAAAAGGAAAATGTGAAGGATTATGTGAGAGTAGGCTACAGGATTCCAGGAACAAGGAACAGATGGCAGGAGTTGATGGCCTAGAAATTATTTCCTCACAGCATACACATTCAGGAGCCACAGACAGCAGGATTACTACAAGATCTAGACAAGTACAGTCTACATAGTGAGATCCAGGCTAGGAAGGGAGACATAGCAAGATTCTGTTTCAAAATATAAAATAAAAGAAGAAAATCAAGCATTTCCTTTGAGCTCACTGGAAGGCCCTGACCGGGGACCACGATGCTAGGAGGGGTGTCCTAGACATCAGTTATGAAAGTACAGTCCAAGTGCACCACATTGAGATTTAGATGCTAGACAAAGGGACCAGACATGGAAATGTTTCTTATTGTATTTCATGACACTGCATTTTAGGGAGACCAGTCATTAAGAGTCCTAGAACTTGCTATACCACTTGCCCAAGAGACTGGATTGGATTTGGAAGTAAATGCTTTTATTTTTCTGAAGACATGAGAAACTGGACATTCAGCCAGACCTCCTGCATGGAACTAGAGGCCCATCTAGCTATATTTAACAGCCTGAAGGAGCTGGTAAGAAATGGTCCGGACTTCGTTTGTTGTTTGACCTGCTAAACATGTACTGCCTTGAGATAGAGATCTTAAAGCTGAAACATGAGGAAGAAACCCACTCCAGGCAGATTGGGTATGTGGGGCATATGGGTAGCACGTTAGTACACACAATGTGGTAGTGTTCTTGCTCCTGGTTGGAGCCCTGAGACATCCCAGAATCATGCTCTCAAGTAGTGCTCATAGTAAAACACGCAAAGGACAAACATACAATCTATAAGATACCTGTGATTATGTATGTTTTCCTCCAAGAATTTACATGTTGTATACAAAAATGGCATCTGTTAAAAACTCCAAGAACATTTTAATCAGCTGTAGTGGGATGCTGGTCATCAGTGTACTTTGGATTACACATGTAAAATGCATCCACTGAGAACTGAGTGTTTTTATGGCTCCATTTCAATGACCCTCAGCTGCCATCGCTAGAGGAGGCTGTAGGTTGGAGACACTCAACAGTCATCTGAAGCTCAGAAACTCATGAATTTGCTTTCTGTGTTTTATGACAGAATTTCCTGAAGAGGTACAAAGGGCCTTCTGACCACTGGATTGGCCTGCACAGAAAGTCATCAGCGCACCCTTGGATGTGGGCAGACAACACTGAATATAACAATTTGTATGTTTTCAAAACACTATTCCTTCTACTGTGTTCATCTCTCTCCCTCCCTCCCCCTCCTCTCTCTCTCTCTCACACACACACTGTGTGTGTGTGTGGGTGTGTGTGTGTGTGTGTGTGTGTGTGTGTGTGTGTGTGTAAGAGATTATTGGCAGTGTCATTTGAAGCCAACTGTACTAGGAAGGAAGTACCATAAACCTTCCAAGTGGAGTTGTGGCTCAGAGGCAGGGTATGTGCTTATACACAGAGCCAATTCTCAGCAAATTTTATGTCCCTTTAAAATTAAAACCTTTGGATGTTCTCCCATTTATTGGTTATTGTTTTCAAAGCTTTTAGTGTGATTTCACTCAAAAACTTTAGCATGATGATAGCATCTGGGGTAGATGTGGTCTGTTCCACAACCAATTGAAAATTCTTCATTGTTGAGAAACACCATTGTCAGATGTAGACAGAGCCTGGGATAGGCAGTGAGGGCTCTGAAACCCCAGGAAGTCAATGCAGAACTCCTGGGGTCAGACTTGTCAGCTCACTGTGTGCACCCCTGCACTTGTCACAGAAGCAGAGACTCCAGGGCATTGGGGACCTCCTCTAATTCTCATCACCAATGAGCACTGAGACAGCTCTTTGTAACATGAAAAATAAAAGACCCAGAGACAGATATTGATGGTCAGGGAAGCAAAGCAGCCAGCCCCTAGCTTGTTACTTCTACCTCAGTCTAAATGTGTTGACCCTGTCTCCACGAGCTCTCACCAAGCCTCAGACTGAAACCTCTCCTCAGTGTGTCTGCAGAATGAATGTTTCTATCTTCAGTGTGGCTGGAGAACGAATGCCTACTGCTAATTAATAAGACCCTGCTTCTATCATTTATACCCCTATAATGCTGGGATTAAAGGGATATGATCTGTTACTCTTTTAGACTGATTCAATCTCAAGTATCCCTGGGCAGCCTTGAACTCAAAGAGAACCATATATCTCTTAATACTGAGTCCTAGGATTAAAGCTGTGTACCACCACCTCCTAGCTTCTGGATGCTGGGGTTAAAGGTGTGTGCTTGGCTTCTATGGCTTGTGGCTGACTTTGCATTCTTAATCCTAAGGCAAGGATCTAATAAATCATAAATAATATATCACTACAGCAATTGGAAGTGAGAATAGCCATTTTGAGTGGAGTCATTCACTGGAACCACAAAACACAGACCCAGGCTGTGATCAATAAAGACCTTACAGAATTTTACTAAGAAATGGGTTTTCTCCCACCTTTATACATGTGTATACTGCTTCAAGTTAGAATTAAAAATCATGCTCAGTGAAGCTATACATGGCAGAAGGCCATATGGACATGGCAGCAAGCACCAGTCAAATTCCTCGGACACACTTTACAGGGTCAACATTGACAAATAACAAAAATATGTTGCTCAAATTGAGACCTGAGTATGTAAAAGATGATAGGTGCAAAACTAGTTCAGGTGTTTGAATGCAATGTTGGCCTGTGCAGAATTTTTTCATTTGATTTTTGTTTGTTTGTTTTGATTCAGGGTACCCACCAGAGGAGAAGGACAATGTGGCTACCTGAGTGACATGGGGATCAGCAGTGCAAGGGACTACACACACAGGAAGTGGATTTGTAGCAAGTCCAACAGATGTATTTAACTGGTTCCAAAGATTTTAAAAGGAGGATAGGGAATGCGCCAAAGCCTTCACGAGAAACAGATGCTCTGTGACCTGTTATCTGCAGTTGCTGTTCCACTCCTGATCTGCTAAAATTATCATCAAAATCCATCAATAATATGTGTTTACACGGAAGATGAAAATTCACTTAGAGGATCACAGATAGATGGAATCAGAAGAACACAGATGATTGTAAATTAAATAGTTGTTTGAGTATGAGCTAGTACTCATATCTTAAGTACAGTCACATCCATATTAGTGAGCTCCACTTTTATGACCCTATTTGAATTCTTTTACTGGTTCTTGCTTTAAAGGCATGGAAAGTAAAACTGTAGGTGACTGAAACCATGGGAATGATTCAATAATCACAAGAAAGCTCATAATTAGTCTGCAGCCTCCAAATATTTTGTAAACATTGCCATCACTCTTTTACAAAATTCAGTGACCAACATGAAGGGAGATCTAGACAGGATTAAAACCAATGCTGAACACTCTGAGATTCAATACCATTGTCAGAAAGGTTACACTTTATTCTCGGTGTTCTTTATAAAATTAAAATAGACTAAGGGTAGGTTATCAGCAAATGTCATTTTAATTTTCTAATTGGATCGTTTGAAAGTTTCATATATGAGTATGTCATTTGAATTTTATTCTTTACTGGGTTCTTTTCAGATCAGGAGACAGTTAATTCCTGAATCTCATGCATGTCTGAGTTTCAGGAGCAAAACATTGAAAAATTTTTGGTTATATGCTACACTGTACTGATGAGTCCCAAAGAGGATGAAATAACAGGCCATAAGCATCTCTTCTGTTAACTCTGTCTTCTTACTTGATTGACATTTGAATTGATCCTTCTCACTGGTGCTGGGCAAACACTGCCCTACTGATATTTACCACCAACGCTTTCTGTAAATTTAATTTTGTGACAAGGCTGCTATGTGTACCTAATTTCAAGATGGCTATGCATCACCACAGAAGAATGGTTTATTCTTTAATAAAGAACAAACTTATTCTTTATTATAGTATTTGTTTGGGTCCAAAAACATGGCTCTGAAGGTAAAGTCACTGGCCACTAAGACTGATACCCTGAGTTTAATACCTGGACTCACAAGCAGAAAACTGTTCACAGCAAGTTGTTCTGTGACCTTCAAACTTGTGCTATGTGTATAAAAATCCACAAATAAATAATGAAATGAAATAAAAATACTTGAAGTTCATTTTTATAGAAGATTACTTATTTTAGTTTGTATTTTTTCTTGATTCCTTTCAATTGCTTGGTTCTTTGTTTTTTTCAAGACAGGATTTCTCTGTGTAGCCTTGGCTGTCCTGAACCTTCTTTATAGACCACTTGGTCTTGAAATCAGACCTGCTTGCCTCTGTCTCCCAAGTGGTGTGTTTATAGGCATGTGCCACCACCAGTCGGCATAAACTGTGTTATTTCTTAGATAAATACAGGCAGATCTCATTCAGGAAAATACTTTTCTCAGTGAAGCTCCTTCTTCATTTAGCCCTTTTTGCTTTGCAGTCCATTTTATTTTCTACAAATATTTACAATAACAAATTATTTTATATCATTAATCTGTGTGTGGTTGTTGTGAGGCAGACTTTCCTGGCATAGTACAGGACACACACGTACTCATCTAAGAGAGGGAGCCCACTGTAGACCAAAGTACAGATATCACCAAAATCTAACTTGTTGCACCAATGACTTTTATTGGGGTTACTTAGAGAAATATGGGTGAGGTGTTACTAACGAGAGCAGAAATGACTCAAAGAGAGATGCATCACATCACCAAAACCCAACCCAGCATGGGTGATGATCACAAAACCTTGAAATCTGGGACACTGCAGAACCTACAGGCAGTTCAGTTAATTTGTTCTGTGAAGAGACTCCATGACCAAGTCAAATTTCAGTAGAGTTTACTGGGATCTTGCTTACAGTTTCAGTGGGTGAGTCCAGGACCATCTTGATGAGGAGTGCAGCAACTGGGGCAGTGGCTGAAAAGCTTACAAGATGAGAAAACAACCACAGAGCAAGAAAGTTAACTGGGAGTGGTGTGGGTTTATTTAATCCCCCAATTCTGGTGGCACACCACCTCCAACAAGGCCACAGTTCCTCCAGTAAATTATACATCCTCTAACAAATTATTCTGCAACATTTCCATCAACTGGGGATGAAATATTCAAACATATGACCCCATGGGAGCTGTTCTCATTCAGACAACCATCGTGTCCTTTGGTAGTGGCGCAGTTGCTATATCAGCATTGTGGATGATTTTTGCTTGTCTCTGCTTCCTTCAGACAACTGTTCTTGTCTGATTATGACACTCAGCAGTCCTTACTGTAAACACTCTTGGGAAGGGAGTTGTCTGGTGAATGTGGTCAGGTTCAGGGATTTCCAGGTGTATTTTGAGTTGTTTACTTCATAGCTTCCTTGCAGGAGGTAATGATTTAAGGAACCTGCAACATTGCAATATTCATTCGAGAAAATATTACTTAATCTCCCTGACCAATATTCATGTAAAAACTGGCTTATAAGTGACATAATAACAAAGTTTAGATTACTCTATTGTTAAACCACTACCTTGATAAATTGTGTAGTGCCAGTCACAGGGTTTCTTCATATGTAAAATGGGTCTAAGAATGGCAGTGTTACTGACAGAATTATCCATGTATATATTTTACCAGTCTCAGGAAAGCTGTAATGTGTTTGTCTTCCAATATTGCAAGCTGGAGATGAAAATCAAAAGAAGAGCTATGGTCTTCACTAGGCTGAAACCTCCTAGTGACATTGCTGCCACTAACAAGTGACAGCTTTTCAAACCATCTTGTCACACTCACTACAACTCACCAGTAGTTTTAGGAAATGAGATGTGAGTTTATTGTGTCCCTGGCTGGTGGTAAACAGTATGTATGCTTCTGTCCTGCAAGGCAACAGCAGTGAGACACAGCACCAAGGCACAGTGTTCTCTCTTGCCAATATTGTTTAGATGGGATTATTGAATAAATTCCAGGAAATATACAAAACCATACTGTAGAAGTTTTTTGTTTGTTTGTTTGTTTGTTTTGGGTTTTTTTTTCCGTGACAGGGTTTCTCTGTGGATTTGGAGGCTGTCCTGGAACTAGCTCTTGTAGACCAGGCTGGTCTCGAACTAACAGAGATCCGCCTGCCTCTGCCTCCCAAGTGCTGGGATTAAAAGTGTATGCCACCAACGCCTGGCTTAATATTGAAGTTTTATGGACATATATAGTGGTGCATGCCTTTAATCTCAGCTCCAGAGGGGCAGAAACGGGAATATCTCTGTGAGTTAGAGGCTGTCCTGGACTGCATAAGAAGTTCCACGGCAGCTAGTGCTACACACAGAGACGCTGCCTCCAAAAGAGAAATCACAACAACAAAAAACCCAGTTTTATATTAGTCTGTCAGTTAAACCAAAATCTCACTGAGGGACTAGAGACATAATTCAGCAGCTAAGAACACAGCTGCTCTTGCAGAGGACCCACACGTGGTTCCCAACACCCCAAGGTGTTCCCAACAATCCTTAAATAAAATTCTAGGGGATCCAATGGCATCTTCAGACCTCTGCAGGCACCGGAAATGCAAATGGTGCACATACATGCATGTATGCATGTAAATATTCACATACATGAAAAATGAAGAAATAAATCTTAAAAATATACAAACAGACATAGAAAAATAACAACATAATTCTCTGTTACAGTTCTGAAGGCCAGAGTTTCAGAAGAGACCTTACTGCACAAAAATTTACTTTTGTCTCAATTGTAGTTTAGACCACCTACTTGATTCAGAAAAATCTCTCCATCTCAAGGTCTTTAATCCTACCAGAAAAGTCAGATTGACTAATTAATTTACCCCGTATGTAAGATTGTGGAATTGGGACAAAGATAATTTTGGGAACATTGCTCTTATAACTGCATGTGTGTATTTTTTACAGGAGTGTGAGATCACTGGAGCTGTGCCACAGACCACGCAAGCCTGGTATGGGGGTCCCAGGGCTGAAGGTCCTTAAAGACTAGATGGGTAAGGATTTGGTGGTGCCAAACAGAAACAGACACAGAGGCAGTTTGAGTATGAGTGCATTTTGAAGCTCTAAAGCAAGTCCTTTTATCCAGAATAAAAAATATTTTCTCTGGGCATGTGTAAGTGAAGCAGACCCATATAGAACAAATAGCATTAGTGTTCCTAGGCACAATAATACACAAATTATCCAAAATTAACCAAAGCAATAAATCAGAAAATCATTCAAGGCTAACCATAGCACAATTCATCCAAGGCTACCTGCCAATTTTTACATCAGGTTAATAAATTTTTATGGTCAGTTATTGTTTAACTTTTATTACCTAGATTGTGTCTTTGAAATATTGAGCAATTTTGAATCATTCTTATTAAAAACATTTTTTTTACCAAACACTTAAGCCCTTTCTTGATAACACATGTACAGCCATATGAAATTTTATTATTGGAAAGTTTCTGTTGAGGTACAAACTGTCTGCAGGTCTCTGAAAGAAGGGTGAGCAACACTGCCAAAGGGAGTTGAAGTGTTTATTGGATGGTTTAAGTTGGGAGGAGACTGGCTGGAGAGCATTTACGTGTAACGGATCTGCTACAATGAAAGAAACTGTGGTAAACAAAAAACAATGTAAGGTAACCTCTGGTGTTACTATAACTTTGAGGGTCCCCCATGGAGGGCCTCACTATCCCTGGGAAGGGAGTGGAAAGAGGGTTGGTGAGGAGCATGGGAGGATTCGCGGGCGAGGTAATGGGGAGATGGATATGTAAATAAGAGTGCTTCTAAAATAAAAAATAATATTCAAAAAAGAAAAAAGGATTGAGAACATTGATAATGGAATGGTGATTTGACAAACAGAATGCAAAATATGGAACATAAAACTGACCAGCTAATAGAAAAATTTGTTCCATGTCTGAGACTAATGACAGGCTAGAAGATAGAACATCGTTTTTGGAAGGCAATTTACATGCCATTCAGATAATCTCTAAGGATGAGAATATTAAATCTTTAGAATCATATGCAAATGAAGAGAACAACAAACTGACTGATTTCATTAACTCCCTAGAAATGTATACTGTCCAGGAAATTCAAACACTCGGAGAAAAACAATGGTGAATAGATTACAGGCCAAAGAAAACTTTCAAACTGGTACACCAGAAGTAGAGGCACAAATAATAGAGAATGAAAGTGATTTAACATTACCAGAACCTTTCAGAATCAGAGATGACTAACCAAAGGTAGTTACATCATCCCCTACAGTTTCCTCCATTACTGTTACTGAGAAACCAGTAACTAAAAAATACCCAAAGGGATTTGTTGAATGTCATTGGGAGCCACTACACATGAAAAGATTTAAAAGGTGTAAAGGAAGCAGTAGTCTCTTGTGGCATGCATTCACCATATGTGTGGCAGTTAGTAGAGTCATGGGCAACAAGAAATAGGGTGACCCCTAGTGATGTTCTTAGAAACTGCATCTCAAATCGGATGGCTTGCTTTAAGGAGGGAAGAGGCCAAAGCACTTGAACATCAAGGCCAAAAGAGAGGTTATAAGGCTCCCCAAGATAAAATTCTTGGTGATGGTCTTCATGCTGATGCAGACACTCAAGTTGCATAGGTTGAACAATCTTGCCACTATGCCACAGCAGCTTTCACTACTTGGGATAAGATTCAAGACCCAAGAACCAGGGGAAAGAATAGACTCCTATAATAAGGTGTGACAAGACCCGAAGGAAAGTTATAATGCATTTTTGCAAAGATTGACTAAAGTGGTTCAAATAGGAGTAGCTTATCTAGACGCTGGATGAATACTCATTGAATCTACAGCTTATGACAATGCTAATTCACGATTGAAACGGGTGCTTTGACCCTTAAAGATCAGCCCTGAGATACCATCTTACACCTGTCAGAATGTTAAAATCAAAACCACTAATGACAGTATATGCTGGAGGGGTTTGGAAAAGGGGGAATACTCTTTCACTGCTGGTGGGATTGCAAATTGTACAACCATTTTGAAAAATCAGCATGGCAGTTTCTAAGAAAATTGGGAATCAATCTGCCTCAAGACACAAAGATATTTGCTTGGACATTTAATCAAAGGATGCTAAATCATACCATAAGGACATTTGCTCAACAATGTTCATAGCAGCATTATATATAATAGAACCTGTAAACAAACTAAATGCTCCCCAACTGAAGAATTGATAAGCAAAATGTGGCACATTCATACAATGGAGTCCTACTCAGCAGTAAAAATGGTGACCTTGTGAAATTTTCAGGTAAATGAATAGAACTAGAAAAAAAATCGTGATGAGGTATCCCAGACTCAGAAAGACAAACACGGTATGTATTCACTCAGAAGTGGATATTATATGTAAAGCAAAGGATAAGCAGACTGAAGTCCAACTCCAGAGAAGCTAGGTAAAAAGAAAGACTCTAAGAGGGACACATGGATCACGCTGAGAGGAGAAATTAGATGATATCTAAAGGGCAAACTGGGGAGGAAGAGAAGGGATGAGAACAGGAGGGAATGAGATGGACTAGCGGGGGAGGGATGCAGTGTAAGAGCAATCAAAGAGATGTCTCAAGAGAGAGAGAGCCACCGTGGGCTTAGTGAGAAACCTGGTACAAGGGTAACACCCAAGAATCCACAAGGGTGAACCCAGCTACGACTCCTAGCAATAGTAGAGAGGATGCCAGAAATGGCCTACTCCTGCAATCAGATTGATGAATACATCCACTATCATCATAGAGCCCTCATCCAGTAATAAATGGATGCAGATGAGGAGATCTGCAACCAATAACCAGATCAAGCTCCAGGGATTCAGGCTAAGAGAGGGAGGAGGGAACATATAAGGAAGGGAGGTCAAGATCATAATGGGGAAATCTACAGAGACTACTGACCCAAGCTTGTGGAAACTCATGGACCCTAGACCTAGAACTGTGGAGACTGCAGAGGACCAAACTAGGCCCTCCACATGTGGGAAACAGTTCTGAAGCTTGGACTATCACAGGGACTCCTGGAAGTATGACCAGGTTCTAGCTTGTTGGAGCCCATTCCCTGCTGTTGAATGCGGTGTTCAGTCCAATGCATGGGAAGGAGACAGGCTCTGGCCCAGCCTATTGTACCAGACTATGTTGACTCCTCTTGGGAGCCCTTAACTGTGAGGAGGAGTGGAATGGTTGTGGGCAAGGGGAGAGATGAGGGGGGGTGGAAAGAGGAAGCAGGGTGTGGGAGACTCATAAGGAGTAGTCCATGAATCACCAGACTGTGCTTGTGAAATGCTCACTTAGAGCAATACACAGAATACACTGTTCTTTCTCTTCCACAGTTCCAACTTTCAAACCTCCTCCAGAATTCAATTCAATCTCTTCCTCTCAGCTCAGAAATGAGAGCTGCAAAGAGTGAAGAGGCTTCCATGGGCATGCTAAAGACAGACCTCATTACTCCAAACAGCCTGCAAGAGGTAAAAACAGGTATGTATTTAATCCAATTTAAGTAAAATAAAAGATAGAGATGGGATTCACCTGTAACCCTCAGAGGAGCTGAAATACCTGCCTGTTAGCCTGTCACAGTGGGTCTCTATAGAAGTAGAGATTCGAAGAAAACTCTCTTATATTAGCTACTCTGTCAGAGTACATAATACTCAAGTATTTGTAGGCAAGATAAATAAACAAAAACTTAATTATAAAAGCCTGAGACATTGTTTTTGTTGGTTGTTCAGTTGGGTTGGTGTGGATTTGTTTAATTTATTTTTACTGTGTTTGGCCTGTGGGGACAGCAGGCTGAGGATCATTTAACCAGCATAAGATATTGGCAGGTGCAAGCAGCATGTACAGAATGTCCAGGTTTCCTTTTTCAGTCATTTTCCCCAGTTCTGAGTAATGTTGCTTGACTTCGTAACAAGCTTGGGGATATTTGATCTGTTTCAAAAGACAGGGTTAATTCATAAATCTGCTAAAAGCATAGGCAGGTTTTTTTATATAAATGTGGGCATTTCCCTTAGATACAGGGCATGAGAGAAATACAGTCTCATTATAACAAAATGATAAAATATTATTCAACTCTTTTTCCTAGATTTTGGTAATACTAACCATAGTTAATGCATGTATTTTTTATATAAGCATCTTTTTATTCCATAATATGACATATTTTTCTTTTTAAAAATCAATGTGTGTTTATTGTGCATGTGTACTATAGACTGGGGAAGACAGACATTCTTAAGTAGAAAGAGAACAAAAACTCTTCTGTATATGATGCTTAGTCAATTGGTTTTCATGATAAGACTCACACTTCATCCTGTGTATTATAACAGACTCAAAACGGATCACAGACCCAGGCATGAAGCCTAGAACTTAAATCTATTTGAAGAAAAAAAAGAAAAAAAAATCTTTATGAATAAGAATTTGTCTTAGGCAAAGATTTCTTGCCTACATTACCAATAAAAATAAATTGAATTTAGTGCAATGAGAATTCTTCTCTGGCCCTAAAAACTAATAAAAAGATAAGAAATGGGCTAGTTCGGCCCCCTGCCCCATGATCTGTGTATGTACCTTTATAACTGTCTGTCTCTCTGTCTGTCTGTCTGTCTGTCTGTCTGTCTGTCTGTCTGTCTGTCTTTCTGTCTGTTTGTTTCTGTGTGGGTGATAACTCTGTCTTTATCTGTCTACATGTCACTCTCTCAAAAGAAATTGTACCTACAATGTGCTAAGAGTTTTAGAAACCCAGTGTTTCATTAGATATGTAATTGTGTATTTAGACATGCTGGGAATATTGCAATTCTTTGCATTTGACAAATGCTGGTATATAAAAATGATATTTATTATGCCCATTGACATATTATCCTGCAACATTATAAACTTGTTCATTATTTTTAGTGCCCCTTTAATAGACATCTAGGAAATTTATGTGTAGATATATCCATATTGTCTGAATATCAAGATTTTTATCTCTATGAGGCCTACATGTTCTGTTTTATTCTTGCCATATTGTCCCAGCTAGAAACTCCAGAATCACACTAGAATATTGAGCAGACACCCTAACCTTTTTCTGGCTCTTTCTGGCTCTTGTAGGGTCTTGAAATTGATGTTCTGGTATTTATATTTTCAGGTACAAAGCTCCAAGGAAAATGTCTGAGAATCATCTCTGTTGAGTCTCCTGTTAAGCTTTACTGCTGCTATGGAGTGATGGCTGTTCTCTTTGCAGCTGTACTTTCACTTTCTGTTGCTTTGAAATTGTCAGGTGAGTGACTTGTTCTACAAATTGTGCAGCATTGTCTACACATGTTGTCAGCAAACACTTCATTACCACTGTGAGTCAGGCACTGTGTGAAGGGCTGGAGAGAAAACACTGGAAATTCCTGTTCTCTGGGAACTTAGGGTGTAGCAGGAAGATTCCTTGAAACGACAGCACAGGCTGTGGTGAGCACAGGAGGCCAGGCTCAGCATCCCTGGGAAGATGACATCCAGCAAGCTCTAGACAGAGATGCAGGAGACGTATGCCCATTGGGAGAACTTTTCAACACAGAGAATAAGGAGAGGAAAACTCGAAAGGAGACTCTCAAGGAGATTTCTACAGCTGAGGGAAGAGAGAACAGTGAAGAGCAACAAGGTGGAGGAAGGTAGAGAACCCTCCACCCCCCTGACCCATGGTTTCAGTCAACATCTTCACCATGATCTGAAAATATGAATTAGAAAGTTTCAGAATATGTTATTCCTTAGCTTTTAGTTGTAGATTGCTTTGAATACTGTGATAAAGTCTTATACAACTTCATATCTATATGAGACAGGGTTTCTCTATGTTCCTGGCTGTCTTGAAACTGCTTTGAACTTGCGCATACACCTGCCTCTTCTTTCCAAGAGCTGGGATTAAAGGTGTGAACCACCACCACCCAACATTGTTATATGAAATCAACTTTAGTCACACCAAATAATAATACACATATATCAAAACAGGACAAGCATTTTCAAACTAGTCTTGGTCATTGTACCCTAAATATTATGTAGCCCTGAAAAGACTCAGATAAAAAGAAGCAACAGTCACTCTCACCGCCCATTGAATTTGTCTCTTTTACTAAACCCTCATGGCATATCAACTAGGACAACTACAGCAAATTCTCATCCACTAAATAAAACTTGGCAGTCATTATTTGTATTTAATATTTCTAGTCAAGTCATTTGTTTCTATGACTTAGTAGAGCACTGAAACAGCAGAAGTTTCCTTCTGACCTGCTGAAGGAAGAAAAAGGTAAAGGGATGAAAGAAAATGTCTCTTATTCTTCTAAGCTGTGCTCTGAACCCTTGCTGCATTTATAGCTTTTTACACACATATTCTTGCACACACAAACACATAAACACACACACACACACACACACACACACACACACACACGTTACTTTATTTTAATGGACTCATTAATGAACACATCTCGCATCTTCATTAGCATAGCCACTCCAACTTTTGTCAAATCCCAAGCCCTATGTATCTCATGGAACTTCCACACAGCTAGAAAAGCATTTCAAAAGCCATGGATCTTTAGTTATGGTTTTAGACCTTCACTGTCAACCACATTTTTATGCACTTATCTGCCACAGAAAAGAAAACTATGGCAGAGTTAAAACTAGAAAAACATTGTTATTCATAATTTTTCATAACTTTTGGGTCCTTTGCACGCTGTCCTTCCCATCACCTTACATCTCTCTTCCTTGGCCTCCTGTCTATGTGTTACACCATGCACAGTCCCAGCTGTGCACACTCTACATCACAGTCTCAGATTGCGTGTGAGAGAGTACATGGGTCTCTTTCTTTCTGAGTTTGGGTGACATCACTCAATATCATACTTTCCCAGGCCACACACTTCACTACAAGTTTCATTATTCATTTGATGCTGAATAACATTCAGTTTTGTACATGTAACACATTTTCACTATCTGTCCATCAGTTGATTGACATATAGATCAGGTCCATTTCCTAACTATTGTAAACTATTGCTCAATGGAGAGCAATAACCATTGGTGCAAAGTGTCTCTGTGCTAGGATGTGGAATTCTCTTCTTACATACCCAAGAGTAACAGACTGGGTCACATGGCAAGTTTATTTTTACATTTTCTGAGGAACCTCCATACTGGCTGTATCAGTTTGTACTCACACCAGCAGTAAGTGCTTGTATTTCTGCACATGCTTCTAAACAAGGTGGCCTTAGACTCACAGAGATCTGGTGCCTCTGCCTCCCAAGTACTGGGATTTAAGCCATGCCGGACCATTGCCCAGTATGTCAGTTTTTTGTTTGTTTGTTTGTTTGTTTTGTTTTGTTTTGTTTCTCCAGACAGGCTTTCTCTGTGTAGCTTTCAAGCCTATCCTGGCACTCACTCTGGAGACCAGGCTGGCCTTGAACTCACAGAGATCCGCCTGCTTCTGCCTCCCAATTGCTGGGATTAAAGGCGTGTGCCACCAATGCCCAACTGCTCTCAGATTTCTTAATGCAGTCATTCTGACGGACTCTAATAAGAGCCAGCATGTGATTATATGCATTTAATATGTGTGTGATAGAATGATAAAAATTCTGGCATTTAAGAGCTATTTCAAAGGTGCCATATTCTGCACGCTTGCTTTTCTCTATAGTAAAATCTAGACAAGTGAGGCATTTTTCTAGTCAAGAGAAAGATCAAATGTGAAGGAGGATTATGGGAAAGGAAGCTACAGAATTTCAGGAACCAGGAACAGTCCAAAGGAGCTAATAGCCTAGAAATTATTTCCTCATGAGGAAATATTAGTACCAGTACTCAGGAGCCACAGCCAGTACAAGTAGAGTCCACAGACTGAATTTCTGGCCTGGCCAGTGGAAACAGCGAGATTCTGTTTCAAAACACAAAATACAAAGGAGAAAATAAAAGCACATCCTTAGAGCTCACTGGAAAGCCCTGGATTGGGAACCAGCATGATAGGAGGCGTCTCCTTGAGATCAGTTATGAAAGTACAGTCCAAAGACACCCCTACCATTGAGATTTAGATGCTAGACGGAAATGTTCTTATTATATTTCTTGGCACTGTTTGCATCTTAGGGAGACCAGTCACAGAGAAGTGTGGACCTTGCTATGACACCTGCCCAAAAGACTGGATTGGATTTGGAAGTAAATGTTTTCATTTTTATGAAGACATGATAAACTGGACATCCAGCCAGACCTCCTGCATGGAACTAGAGGCCCATCTAGCTATATTTGAGAGCATAGAGGAGCTGGTAAGTAATGGTCAGGATTGGTTTGTTGTTTGTTCTGTTGAATGTGTTTTGCCTTCAGATGGAGACCTTAAAGCTGAAGCGTGAGAAGAGCCCACTCCAAGCAGATGGGGTGTGTAGGGCACATTAGTACACTCCATTTGCTAATGTTACTGCTTCTGGCTGGAGTCTTGAGACATTCTAGAGTCATGCTTTCATGTAGTGCTCATAGAAAAACATGCAGGGGCAAATATAAAATCTACTAAGATAACTAGTGGTCATGTTCCCTCTGAGAATTTACATGTTGGATATAAAAATGGCATCTGTTAAAAACTCCAAGGA